TAATTATATATTGTTTATTTAGATTTATTTATTCTATTTATTTATTTATATTTATTAATCATGGAAAAACTTATATTGAATTTAAAATTAATAATGGATTATTGGTTGAATATTTCATTTTAATGATACATTGAATTCCTTTGAATATAATGTTTTTAAAATTATATTTTATTTATTTAAATAGTTCAAGTTAAAATATTGATTTGTGATATCAATGATATAAATTTATTTATTTTAAATTATTTTAAAAATATTAGTTTGTGGAATTATATTATTTTTATTTAGATTAATAATAATAATAATAAGATTATATTTAATATTAATCAATTTGATTATTGCAACGATCCAAATATTTATCCAAATATATACATTGTGTATTTAAAAATTATTTTATCATTAGTTTGCATCGTACAAAAAAAATATATTACATTTCGAATTCTTTTTGATACTTTCGAATTTGACATAAATGTAACTAAAGAATTAAAAATAGATAACTCTTTTCTAATTTCTATAAATTCGTCCCTTAACACCGGCAATCGATGACGCGACACTAGCGCCATATGATCATTAATTTTTCGAATTATCACATTTTTTTCACAAACATAACAGAAATATATTTTGTTAATTCTTCAAAGTCGAAGCTTGAAACCAGTAACTTGTCCATTGTAATATTAAGAAATTAAATTTAAAATTTTATATCCTTGAAAAAAGAGTATTGGGAACAATAATTCAACAAAACAACAATATTCAATGAACAATGATAAATTAAGTCTTACAGATCGCAAGAAAATTATCACATGCAAAACCAACAGATCCAATTAGAAAGTATATCCACGATCATTTTTGCACATTTGTTGGGAATCGTCTCGTAGACTTCGCGTTAATTGACGATATATCGTGTTAATTGACTATATGTGCCGATTAATGGTTCACCGTTTCAAACCGCAGCCTCCGCGCGGGGCGACTGGTGGTCACGTTTTTAGCTAATCTGCTTTCACGCTCCAACAATTATGCACGACGAGGCGCCTTTCTACATTCCGCCATAATAAGCAGTCCTGGTCGCGACCTGGTCGGTGCTCACCGAGATTTTCCTGTTGCGTCCACTGCTCGTTACGCAACACCAACGCTTGGATACTTGTCACGTCACGATCCACTGATGACGATCGATGAATCGTAATTGCAGGTCGCGAAACGTTCGAAATATGCGTCCAAACGATAGGCGGATTACATAATCGATGCGTGTGTTTGTTTAACCGTTGATTTTCCGACAAATGCGAACCGTGAATGATTGTAATATTCGATTCTTACTGTGGGAAAAAAGACCGAGAAACGAGAGAGTGTCACGAGTTGTGAAATCGTGTATGCTCGAGGTAATTTCGAATTGCTTTCCAATTATGACTTGTAAAACGAATCAAGAATATTAACCAAAAAAAAAAAAAAAATAAACAGTTCCTATGGAAAAATGTTTAAATATTATGTCGTTTTATTCTATTTATTATCTCGCTTATAAATTTTGAATTATAAAAATATAATTTTTCCAATTCTTTTTTCGTATAATTATAGAAGCAAGAATTTAGAATTTAGAACAGGTAATAATTAATTTTTCATAGCTAATCGATTCAATTGCGTTATACTTTTATTCTCGAGAAACGAAAATGAACGTTATAACAATATTAATCTACTAAATTAAATATTAAACTAACAATATATTTACTACGTTATATATACTGTAATAAAAATCAAGTTATTTCGTTCATATTCAAACAACCGACCCAGATACTAAGGAATAAATTTTTAATTCGATGCATTTTTGATCGACAAAATTATTCTTTCTGAAATAATCAAAATTAGAAGAAAAAAAAAAAAAAAAACACCTACATTATCAAACGACTCGTTACAAAAAGCTTTCGCGTTATGAAAGTCAATGAAAGAATTCGACCAACAGGTTATCGTGTCTCCGGTAAATTAATTAAACACAGCCGCGAACGTACGAGCCGTGGCTTATAAATATGGAAATATAGCAAAAATATGGTGTGCGCGCGCATACTTTCGCGGTAATTTCTTGCGTCGAAGTAAGGCGAAATGATTTCTATAACGGGGACGCCGATAGCTGCCTTTTTTCCCTCGCACGCTTTCGAATGCGGGCCATTCGATGTCACAAGGATGCGGGCGAATTTCCACTCGAATTTCGAGATTTCCGTTCGAAAAGATCACGAGGGAGAACCGCATAGGGATGATTTCGTTGATTAAACGCGTGAGGATGAAGAGAACGCCTTGCCAGTTTCCCTTGGCAATATTTCACGCATCGTGAAATGCAGAGCCATTCGAGCGACATGGTGTACAAAAGTTCAATATCCTGATTGAAACTTCGTCAAGCATTCCAGTTACGTGCCAATGGCATTGGAGCCATTCATTTTCATTACTGGCGTCTCGATGTATCGAGACACTGGCGTTTAAAGGGTTTCTTTAAAACTGATCGGTTTGATAAAATAATGTTATGTTCGAGGGAAAATTATTTCAATATGTGTTTTTATGTTAATTTAATTGTAGAAAAATTTTTACACGAAGTGGAGGGAAGCGGAAAAGCGTACTTGAAAGTATGAATAAATTAGATCTGAATATGTAAACATGAAATTACCGTGCGAAAGATTGACATGCTGATTACGATACGGTTTGTAATGAGAATTTTCTACAATAGTTTATAACAATATATTTTACTTAATTCTATAATATTATATTATACGTAGAAAATAATATGGCACGAAGAAACTCGAGGGGAAATTCAAATTTAATTTTTTAACGATGCAATATTTTGTGATATCGTCAAATATCCACTAACACGTTACATAATCGATTTATAATTTCGATTACTTGGCGAACATAATAATCGCAATCTACTCGACGTAAAAATTTTTTCAAATTTTACGAGAAATCTGACACGCGATCTTACTTTTACCGACCACGTAACGAGTTACACACTTTTCCAGCTCTGCTCTACACTTGATAAAATTTCAGCGATATCGATACCGTTGAAAACGATTCATTTCTATGGCGGCGTTAGTTAGCAATGCTCGTTAGTTATGGATCAAACTTCAACGATATCCTCGACACCCATCGTTAACGTGCACCGCTGCACGTGTCGCAATTCTTCGTTCCAAAAGCAAAAAGAAGCATTTGCGATGGCCCTAAGAGACCCTAAGGGAGCCACGTGTCCGACTAGTAAGGGCAAACAGAGAAAGGCGAGGTATTTTTCTACCCTAGCTTCGAGATCCAATGACGCTTTCGATCGACCGTGAAGCACGAAACGTAGAAACTTTGATCAAGCGTATTTCTGGCGAATCCAATTTTCTAAATATCCTCTATCCCTTCTGCTATCCCTTCGAAACCTTTCTTTTTGGAAATCGCCCTGCAAGGGCGTGATTGAATTTCGTCGGCTAATCCAAATAGCCGCCATGGATGAACGTCCATTCGAGTTATGGTTCAATGGATTTAAAGGAGAGTATTAGATAGACATGATCGAAGGCGTAAATTTGTACTACAGGCGCACACTTGCATGCGTCTAATTTATGAACGGATCACACGCTCTAATGTACGCTTTCGTCACGGCTACTCCATCGAGATCGTTCTTGTGGATCATCAGGATGTTACTGATCCATGTCCAATGGGATTTCATGCTTTCATGATCGTTGCTACGTACTACCTGGGAAAAAGCGTATCGATAATCGTCATAACAAAATATATTGAAAACCCATCGCTCGAATCGAAAGTTATTGGGAAAAAAACATCATTGAGTTATATATATCGAGATTAAAAATTGATGATTTTTTAATAATAATTATCGCGTTGCATTAGAACAATTCATAAAATTAATCAAACTCTTCATATATTATCTTACAATTAAATTCATTTAATCCTAAAAAATTTTGATTTTGATAAATGTTTATATGTAGAATAAATTATACGTAGAAATTTTTTCAATCAAATGTTTATAATTTTTTTTTTTAATCTTATGAATATGAATTCTATCTGAGATTTTGACAATGCGATAACAGAGTATTAAATTCTGAAATTTGATAAATTTTAAGGATTGATTTCATCTCTTCGAGTATTCTAAATAGTAATCCATTATACTTTATATATTCGTAACGTTTCACGTATAAAATGAATTATTGTTATATATAATTTATTGAGTTAAACTCATTAAGGTGTACTTTTGCGATCGATAAATTTCAAATAAAAAATGTGCACCAATGGTAGACATTCATAGATAACACCCTGTAGATTTTGTGTAAACAGTCTCCATGCACAAACAGACAATGAGGAGGACGAACAATCCTCCCTCGCTCATCACCGCGATTTCTTTCCCCATATGTCGATTTATGGTCTCGCCATTAGACACGGTTCCCTAGTGCACCGCGGGAGTTCCAGTTCGATTCGCCCAGAACAGGATATCGTTTCCACCGAAGGAAGAAGCGGGGTCTTTATTGTTCTCTTTTGTTACGCCCAGACCGATGAAATACTTTTTCGTGTGTTTACACACAATATTGTATTCATGGCAAATCTGAACAAACATTGTTCTGGGGGAACCGAGAAGAAACAATAAATCCATGAATAACGTGGATCACATGCTCGTCTGTTTGTTCTGTAGTAATCAATCTTCCGTATACGGTGATACAGCGTGCATCTTTTATTATAGCACAACTTCGATATCTTCGGTCATTATGAAATAAAAAGGGACTACTTATTATTTATTACATTACGATAAACCTTTTCGGATAACCTCGATTAAAAATGTTTTGAAATCAACGTTAAATCATCTCTGATAATTGAGAATTTGTACAAATATAACTAATTTTGAAACAAGTATCCGTTTCACCTTTTAAATAAATAATAAATAATCGTGTCCATTTGTATACATTGAACTTAACTTAGTAATAATTTTTTTAAATAATTATAACGATAATGAAAAACAATAAAAAGGCAATAATTGTTCGTTCCAGAGACATCTTGACAAAGGAAGCGACCTTGCCGAGGCGGCGAGTGCGAGCGGACTTCGCGAACTCGCAAGATCCTTGAAGCATCACCTTCGAGGATTCGGTTCCCGGCTGGAGGACAGGCGCGAGTACCTCGAAGACACGTCGAGATGTTGCCTGCTTCAAGACCGGGCGTACGAGTGGGCCCAGGAGGCACGCCTTGCCGGCGAACGAGGGGCCCAGCAGTTCCTCATGGCCAGGCCACCCTTGCCGCCCGAGCATTTCACCGAAATGATGGCACTCGCCGAGAAGCTCGGTAACGAAATCCTTCTGGAACAATGCCGCATCGCCAGGAACAAGTGTGCGGAAGCGCTCGAGATGGCGAGGACCACCTCCGCACCTGGCAGTCCCGCCAGAAGAAGATCCTCCTCGGAGTCTGCCACCTCCTGGGAAGACAGTTTGACCAAGAGTACGTAAATCTCGTCGTTTTTATCATATTTTGTATTTTATATTCTACATACAAGAAGAATAATTTATGTAAATTATTGTAAAACCGATAAACACTTGTTTATTAATACGAATATGCTCATGTGTAATTTATGCAACCTCGTCGTGCGCGTTAACGTTCAAAATAAGATATGAAAAATTATTTCAAGATAAAGAGCGAAAAGACTGAAAAATATTTTCAAGATTCAGTTCCGCGCAAACTATTCTCTGGAACAATTATTCCAGGAACTTCGTGGGATGACAGCGACAGTAATGCATCGTACGCTTGTCCCATGGAGAGCGTAGGATCGACAGGAAGCGGCGGTCGGCCTGTACTGGACAACATTGCAGAGCTTCGAGAGAGCGCCGAACAGCTGCTCGATTGCTCTCCACCACGAACGCCACCCCGAAGTCCTGCTCCTAGACGGCTGGTAAAGCCACCGGTGAACTCACACCTTCACAGAGCTGCCAGCATCGCTCCTGGAATGAAGGCGAAAAAGTACGTATAATGATTTATTGGAAATATAATTATGTTGGTTTAAACTAATATTATTTTCCAGTTTATTTCTATTTAATTACATTTTATCGTTCGTAACAAGTTTATATATATAAAATGCATGTATAATGTACAATTAATGGATGAGCATAGTCTGATTAACATTCTTGTTGAAAACTTTTCACCGGGAATATATACAAGTGTTTTGCATCAATATATGTGGAGATACGACGGATTTCGCTACGTTACGTTTTCGTACGATTCTTCTTCCGTGTTCTCCCCAGTTTAGCCATGCTAACAATGCTTATCTATCTAATAATTCTATCGTGCGATTATGCGGAATTGTTACGTGCACGGCACCGTGGTTAACGAGGAATTTCACCTTGCAGAACAATACTGCTCATAATGAGAGAAATGATACAGACCGAACGAGACTACGTGAAGTCCCTCGAATACATAATAGAGGTAACTGTTTCACCTACGTATAACGTAGTTCGAGTTGCATTTAATCTTACCATTAACGACGACCACTTGTTTTTGTCACCGAAGAATTATATTCCGGAGCTGGTGAGAGAGGACATTCCTCAGGCGCTCAGGGGACAGCGCAACGTGATCTTCGGCAACGTCGAGAAGATATACGAGTTCCATGGTCAGCATTTCTTACGGGAATTGGAACAATGTGAGCAGTCGCCAATGAATGTGGGGCAATGCTTCCTTAGACACGTGAGTTTCTTTTTTCTTTCTTCTTTACCTGTGTACATTGATTTTAGAAGTATTAACAAATAATAGATCATTGCTCGAAATTGGTCCAAATTTATGTGAAATTTATATATTTTTCCAAACATAATAAAAAAAAGAAAAAGAAAAAGTTGAAATAAACATATCTATAAATTTCATAATTTGTCAAGTGAAATCTTAATACTCGATGTTTGAGTAAAAAATTTTTTTTAATAACATTAATCATTACTTATTTACGTTGCAGGAGAAGAAATTCTATCTTTACGCGTTGTACAACAAGAACAACCAAATTCGGATTCCCTGATGGCCGAGTACGGCACTGCGTTCTTTAAGCAAAAGCAGCTCGAGCTTGGTGACAAGATGGACCTAGCTAGTTATCTATTGAAGCCAGTTCAACGAATGGGAAAGTACGCACTGTTATTGCAACAGCTGGTCAAAGCGGGCACTGATCTCTCGGAACAAATGTCCGGCAAAGACGACAAGGACGAGAAGGACGACGGTATGAAGCCAATAGTCGAGGGAGAAGCAGAACTGAGGGCAGCCGAACAGATGGTACGATTCCAGTTACGTCACGGAAACGACCTGTTGGCGATGGATTCACTGCGAGATTGCGATGTACGTCCATGATGTATTTCATAATAAAATGTAATACGTAGTCGCACGGTAATGTAACTAACTAATAACGATGTAGTAGACAAGAGACAATCGTTTCAACAATGGCAAATGGAGGAGTGTATGTAACGCGTTCTTTGTCGGAGGCCCGCGACACTATAGACGGTATAATGTTTACGTAATTTGTAGGTGAACGTGAAGGAACAAGGAAGACTACTTCGTCAAAACGAGTTCTTGGTATGGCAGGGTAAAGGCAAAAAGTGCCTACGACAAGTTTTCTTGTTTGAAGACCTTATCCTATTTAGCAAAGCGAGAAGATTCCCCGACAGGAAGGTGAGACAATCTTTTAATTTGATACAGTAGTTACATATATTTATTTTATAGATATGTATCGCATGCTAATTGATCGATCGTTTCAGAACCTCGATATCTACATCTATAAGCATAGCATCAAAACAACGGATATCGGGTTAACAGCCGTGATCGCGGACTCACCTACAAAGTTCGAGATTTGGTTCCGCAAGAGGAAACCAGGCGATACGTACACATTGCAGTGTGCAAGCGAAGAGATTAAGAAAGCCTGGACGGAGGAACTGAGCAACCTTTTATGGAAACAGGCGCTGCGAAACAGAGGTACGACTGCATTTTGAAATATAGTTTCCTGTGCGGCTCAATTTAACGAGAACACGTTTTTTTATGATGGTAGAAGTGCGCCTGGCGGAAATGTCGAGCATGGGCATCGGAAATAAACCTTGTTTGGACATTAGGCCTAGCGCGGATCAAATTAATGATCGTTCTATTAGTGTAGCTCAACTCTCGAAAAGTAAGTTTGCAATCTATTACAAGTATTTTAAACAAGCTTTATATTAAGTGATTTTATATGAGTCAAGTTTGATAAGTTTGCAAAACGATTAATTCAATTCTTTGCTATTAAATAGCACCTAGATTTAGAAACTCGATAGCAGTATCAATGTCAGAGGATTCGGGACGCTGCAGCAGAAGGCCGCACAGTGTTATTCCGTGAGTTCATCATCGAGTAGCGGCGGAAGTAGCGGCCCTCCAACGACACTGAATCTTGGTTTGGATACAAGTCCTCGACCTCATCATCGCAGTACTACGCTCAATAGCCAATGTAGTGTTGGTATGTATATATTAGTTCTTTCTTTCTTTCTTTTTTTTTTTTTTAATTCGGACGATTATAAATAATATTTGTATCTTTACAAGTGATATATTGATGTAATTACAGAGAGTGGCATAATAGCTGATATTTCGATCGTCTCGGATGATGGTGGCGATGGAACTGAAAGAAGTCATTGGAACTCTACTCTGGAAAGTCCCACCTACCATTTGCCAACGACATCGACACCTCTTCAATCACCGACCAGCGCAACCGCGACAGCAACAGTTACCTCGGCTTCTTCGTCCGACACGAATCTTACACCATATGATCAAGACATGTCTATTAATTTATAAGTGTTACACCCTCTGAAAAAGATGGCGTGACTCTGATATAGAAGAGTACATATATATATAATATATACGTGTTGTCGATTCACTTGCAAGTTGTTTTATAGTGAATGCAGTGTGATTCACCCGAATTGCATACAGTTTTCCAATGGAAAGTGGCAACGTCTACGTATAACTGAATAGAGAGTATTAGAGCGCGTATTTTTCTTGGGCAATCATAGTTCGATGAATGACCATGAGCTATGAGTGATGTGTAAAATGGTGTGAACACACAGTCCAATTAAATTACTGTATTACGCTTATCACGTGAGTTCCGTAACAAGCGCCTCTTGCAAAAGATTTAAAACGGATCCTCCGTGTTACAAAGTTTGTAAAGAGGAACACACATGCATATATATATATATATATATATATGCTCACACACATTCACGGTATACCTTTATGTCCCAGACAGAAAGCTCAACTTTCAAGTGAATTTATCTTTTGATACGCTTCGAATTTCATTGATCTATAAACGATCGGATATATAGTTATCACGTCTGAATTTTATAAACCATTGATTTTTCAGAAGTAACGGCGACGTGTATTTTCTTATACTATCTCCTCAAATCCACCAACGTGCTCAAGAGAAAGATCATAAATACAAATGTGTTCCGACAGAATCTATATGTGTATAGCTGCATGTTTCACAATGTGCTGCAGTATCGCAAACAGTATGCACTGGTTGCCATTATTCTCATAAACATTGGCATTCCTGATTAATCAGTGATTGAGAATATTATCTCGAATTACCGACCAATTTATGTATGGTACTTTTATACTTTATTTATATGTTTAGTGAATAAATATTGATATTCCATGTCCACATTGTGTTCGCGCTTACTACTACGAATTGAAGACGTAATCGTTAAATTACGTCATAGTCGAGTATACAAAGATTTTTTTTTTTTTTTTTTTTTTTTTTTTTTTTTTTTAATTTATAACCTGAAGATCGATTGTTATTTCATATCATATCATTCTCTTCAGGAATTCCATTAATATCAAAATCATTGTTCGTCTTCTTGTCGAATGCGTTTTCAACAAAATGCGCGTCCGACAGAACACATCCTTTCAGGAATGTCAAAACAATGCGCACACATACATACCACTTTGTAATATAATGTAATATTAAAGGTTTATACGATATAGCCACAAGTAATATAACCGATAGTCTAAATATATATTATTTCCAGATTATATATTAAATATATATAATATTATATTCTTTTTATGTCAGTCATTTGTAAAACCTTTTATCACCTGTAGATGTAAACCTAACTCTGGCCTGTACACAAAAGCCAAATTCTATCCTCTGTCTTTTTCTTTCTCTTTCTCTTTCTTATTATCTCTTTTTCTTTTTCTCTATTTAGAAAAAAAGAGAAGCAAGCTACATTTAAGTAATATTTCTTTTATGATTATTATTGTGTGGTCGTTTTAAAAAGTTTAGCTTAAGCTTAACTATTAAGTTGCGTCCACACAAAATATGTTTTTCACGTTAGTTTCTTTCTATCCAAGAAATTTATAATTTTAACTGTGCAGGTTCGATTATGGTTCGTTGACTGATATTTTTTGGCATAAAATTGACATATATCATCGTAATATATATCGCAATTTTCGTACGTAATTCAATTACATATGCGATAAAAAGCTTTGCGTCTTGTTCCAAATTAAAAAATTCAATCAAGAATACACAATCGCCTGTATCGGTTTTGATCATAGTCATGCGCTTAGTGAGCTCTAGCGACCGAAGAAAGTAAAATCACAGCGCATGTAGCAATCAGTAATTATCCCGTTATATAATTCTGTATTGTTACTGCTTAAACAAGTCAGTCGAGATCAAGCCATTGTTATTGCCAAGGTCTGCCAAGGTATTTGAATGATATCTTATGGATAATGACCAAATTCCGTTTAGTTCGTATTTTGGGGTCGATCGAAGAATTTAAGGTATATTAGAAAATGTAGTTGTAGATTATAGTTAGTTAATGAAAAAAAAAAAAAAAAAAAATAATCCTGGCACAGTCTGATGCATCCCTGTATCGTTTTCTTTTATTTACAAATCGTATTTTAATTGTATTATATATCGCGATCACATTTTTCGAGAATCGAAACTATCATTCGATGGATCGAAATCGAATAGAAAATTGCGAGCATGCCATACGAAATCGGTGCATCCGGCTGAGCATCCCGCTCTTCGAAAGTGAGACTAAACGAAACAAAAGTAAATATTCTATTTTCTATAGTTTTTGTTTGTTGTTGCTTTTAAATTAGGGATGTCGAATTTAATAATGATAGTAAGGAATAACACGGTACCTTAAGATACACAAATAGTCACTTAATTGTGTGTACACGCTCGTAGATATTTATTAATATTTTTTTAAATAGATTGTTTTAATCTATAGATTTATTCGCATCATTATAACGAAATGTATATATATATATTATATATTTACATTAATAACATGATTATTTCAGTATTGTACTGTGTCTAACACTGATGTATTTTATTACTTGCTAAATATACTGTATTGGGTGCCTTTTGTAGCGAAGATAAAATCTTTAATTTTTTATCTATTTTGTTCCATACCTTGTTTTCAAAATGCCATATAAAAATATAAATAATGCATAACTGCTTATTTCATAGTGTGTTTACTTCAAAAATTACGTATAAAGTTTAATCACTGGTACATATGTGTGAAATTCGCATCATGTTATATCGAATGTATTAATCGATACTCGGGTAGTAGTTCAAATCATAAATCGATGCGCGGTAAATCGAAACGTATTCCGTTACGTATTGATGAAGTAAAATTTTTATCGTTTAAACTCGGTTAAGGTATTCGTTATATATTCGTGATATAAATATTTTATTTGTTTTCAAATATTCTTTACAAACAACAATAGGCTTTCAGTTTTTGTGTACAATTGATACTTTTAACATATTTTATAAATACAAAATATGTAAGAAGCATATGAAAGACGTGTCTAATAGCAATAAAAGTGCTATATTTCATCGATTCTGCCGGACCATAAACTACAGAGTATTTTTATGTCATTGTAAGTACATATTTCTGAAAAAATTTAATTATCGCCATGTGCATAGTTGATATATTTGCAATAATGTAACCTTATTCATTTAAATAGTATCAATATTAAGATATTTGCTTGTCATACTTTTAATTGTCATGCTTTTAATTGTAGATGTGTCATAGAAGTGTATAAAAAGACTTATTTTTTATAATATAAAGAAATTTTTTACAAGGACCTTCTTATATTTTAATAATAAAATTTGATCCCAGCAGAAAATTTCATAATATTCTTTCACATAATAAAAACGTATAATTTAATAAGTTTTGTCACCTGTTATCTTAAAAAAATCACAAACCTTTTAATAGAAATATTTATCCGTAATTCTTGATAATTTTTAAATATTTTATATAAATATATATATATATATATATAATAAGAAAAAAACATTCCTTAATATTTCAAACATAAAAGTTTAAGATATACATATATAGGATGTTTAAAATTTTAACGTTAAACGTTGTCACTATATTCTATAGTTTTAAATAAGAAAAAAAATGTTATAAATACATAGGTTATTTGAAATTTTATTATTAAAAAAACATTTAAGAAAGAAAATATAATTATATAACAAAAATATGAAATACAAAAGAAATTATAGTAGATGCATGATTGATACTCACACTATAATATAAGATTAATAATATTTATATTTATTTTTTATAAAAAATAATTAATTCTCTATCTTAAAAAACATCTATTATTCGTGATAATATAATATTAACAACAAAAATAGAAATTATTACTTTACAAATTTTCACTTTGTTTTATTTTAATTTACATAAAGAAATTGAAGATAAGTATTATTGATCTTATTAATTATTTATATTATTGCTTTCTTTGTATTTCATATTTCTGCTACAATTTCTTAATGAATCTCTACATGACTTATGTTTATATAAAATTATTTTCTTATTTAAAATTACAGAAAATGACAACTTTTAGTCATTAAAATTTGTATATAAACATCACATTTATATATATTCTTAATATCAGTACCTTAGCATTAAACAACACTGCAGGCATTCTTTTTCTTATTCTCAATAATATCACATTTTGGCATGGGTCATAATTCTTTCTTAGTTTCCTTTAAATTTTCAGGAAGAGATGTTGATCTTTGTATAGGTTTTTGTTCAGTCAATTCGTGTGTTACAACAGATTTTGATTTCTGCATTTCTATTTCTTTTTTCTTTAATATAGATGCTCCAGTAAATCCTGTATTTGTAAGAAATATTGTAAATATTATGAATTCATATTATAGTAATAGTGCACTAATATGCACTAATTTACCTAAAATACCACAACCTATGGCAGTTAGTCCACCAACTTTTAATCCAGCTAATAAACCAATTGGTCCACCAATACAAGATCCTATTACCGCTCCTGCTAATGGATACATAGCAACTTTGTATCTAGCAGCTTTTTCAAGAAATTTTTCTCCTTCTTTGACATTTACATTTGCTTCCACTATATCATCTTCTGCTGAATTCACTAATTCCTTTTGATCCTAATTATAAAAAAAGAAAATTATATGTATGAGCAAAAAATAATAAATATCAATAAATAAGATAATTTACATCAACAATTTTGTTAAAATCAACAAATAATTGATGTAATTGATGTATATCTCCTTGCAAGGTATTCCAAGCATGCAGACATGCCTCCTGATGTTGCAAGTCCTGTTGTTCTTTTTGAAGCTGGATATATGTATTGTCAAGTGGATGACTATTGGCTTGATCTTCATTTATGGATGATTCTGGTGACATGGGCAAATTTAACTCTAATTCTACAAGCAAATATAAATAAACTTCATATAACAACTTCAAGTAATGTAAGTAATCTTTTTTAATACGAAATATAATTTTATTTTACCATATATTCTTTTATTGCATTTAAAATACTCGCACGTGCATTAGCAGTCAGTTTATCAAATTGATTAATATCAGAATCAAGAACATGAGCTCTTAAAGTATCCATTTGATATAAAAGTTCTTTGAGTTGTTTTATAATTCTTGCTACATTTATGTGTTCTCTACGCATTTTTTCCCAATCATGTTGTGCTTGATACTATATTATAACAAAACATTATGCAAACATTTATTATTTAACTAATGATTTGATTTACTACTTACTTTTTGAATGTTAGTTTTATGTCGTTTCAACAAATCAACATGATGTGGTATTGCCACATTGAAATTATTAATTTGAATTTCTAAGCGTCTAATAGGTTGCTTTATAGCAATATTTTCTGGTGAGGACGACATGTTTCGATGTCGTCTTACACAAAGTTTTGTCTGTTTTATCCAATTGCATTAAATTGTTTTTATAATTCTTAAAACAATTTTTTGAAGATGTTTAACTTACAACATATTATGTTATAAAAACACTAAAGTTAATAATTCTTTTTTAATAAAATATTAAACATTTATATTATAGAAGCTATAATAGCTTGTTGCACGATCAATTTATTTTTATGTATATCAATCAAAAAAGATAACCAATCAGCTGATTATTTCTACGCTGTAATATACTTACAATCATTTACTAGCATCAATGCCATCTGTACTAATTTTCAAATAGTTAACTCAAAATAATTCATATTATATTGTATAGATGGCAGCATTCATATTTTATATACAAAAAATATTCTTTTTTAATGAAATTAATTTATCAATAATTAAAAAATATGAGTTTTTGATTTATTAACATGAATTTCTATTTTTTTTACAATTTTGTTTTTTATTTATACAAAAAGCAGCATAAATATATATTAATATGCTAACATTTTTAAAAGATCAATTCTATAGACCAAACAAACAAAAATTGCTATATAAAAATGTCTATTGAGGCTTTTTAAGTTTATAAATAATTTACATTTGATGAAATGAGTCGAAGATAGATTGAAGCTATTTTATTTCTGCTTATTTATTTCTTTTTCAATTATATTAAATTTTTTATTTTCTTTTTTTATTAAGATATATAATTTCACGCGAAAGGAAAAAAAGAAAAAAAAGAAAGAAAAAATATAAACTTTATTATCTTCTGTACTATTACATCTATACTTTTTTCTTTTGAATAGCCATCGAGTTAGCCAATTGTACTGAGAATTTCGATGCGTCTCGAATTCAAGTTCTATCAGAGTTAAACAATAGCTACTCGTTCACTATCAGCCAGAAAGTCGCAAAACGCTGTTCCAAAAGGACGTACGATCTTGATGAGTTTCACGAGGGCTCGCCGAATGTACAATTCGGTATAAAGCCGATGAAGCTTTCGGTAATGAAAAACCGATTGCGACCAAATAGGCTCTGGGCTGCCAGTGACGTGTAATCGAGTCTTCTCTTTCGTCCCTCTACCATACCACCATCCATCTCCGTTTTACTCGCCTTCTTGTTTCTCTCTTTACCTTTTCCCTCGTTTTTCCACTCCCGCCTACCCTATGAGCTTCCATTAACCACCATACGTCATATATACGGGTGGAGGAAACCATTTTGTCCCGGTTTCTGGTGACCTCTTATTTGAAAACGGTGTTCAAATTACTATAGGCCATCTCGATATTCTCCCTTTTGTTATTACTGCTCGGATGAATAATTTGATCAGTTTGACATCGTATATTCTTTTAATTTGCGAAAAGAAAATTTTACAGTTTTTTTTTATTCTTCGTGTGATAACATTAAATCTTCATCGAGAGCTTAAATGATTAATAAAAAAAAAGATAATGAAATAAATCCAAAATGAATATGATAGAATTGAAATTTTGAGAAATTTATCTTCTTAGATTTATATTCAATTGATATTTCTTAATATCTATGTGATAGATGATTGGATTGATTTGGATTAATTTAATTTTAGTTTACATTCTAATTTACATTCATATCAAATGAAGAAGAAATATGTCAGAAAAAAGTAATTCAATTCTATACAAGTTAAATAAAAATCGCCATTCGTCTCTTTTCTTTTAATTACTATATTCTCTTCGTCTGTTTCTGCTTCCTCACTTTATTTTCCTGCAGACTTGACTCCCATTATTCCCAGACAGTTCTTTCTTTGCAAAGAAGGCAATCGTCTCGATTTTTTCCAATAAAACAATTAGCTTGGGAACGAAAGGCGAAACAAGATAAAACAGGAAATGAAAAATAGACGTGAGCAACGGAGATCTATGCTTTGTGTGTGTGTGTGTGTGTGTGTGTGTGTGTGTATGCCAGTGTAAGAAGGTATTGCTCATTAGAATGCAACGTGCTTGTCTGCAATCAGACAGGTACAGACCTCTAACTAGCTGTAGACCCAACGAGAGGAATGGATACGAACGTATCGCAAAATCAGATCAATGTATCATCGATCTCTTTTTAATATTTTTTATTTTTTTCATCAAAACATTCATCCTCACTCTTATTAGATCCATGTTCTTTTGAAACTTTAACAAAGAAATATCAATAAATTGTTCAATAAATAATTCAATACATTATAAGGATTCACGATTATTTGATTAAAGAAAATTAATAAAAGGAAAATTCGAATATAAAATTATTTTAATATACAAATACATTTTTGATAAACATTGAGGAAGTAAGGTGATATTAATTCGTTCGAAAGCAGTGATTTCATTATTAGATTATACGAATTACGATTTCTGTTTTGGATAAAATATTCAGATAGAGAAATGGGATTTATTAAATGCGAACAAACGAATGAAGAAACAGTTGCGACTGTTCCTAGACTGTTCTATTCTCGAGGAAACTCGAATGCTGAGTACGTGCCTATGTTATGAAATAATATCATTTCGAGTTCCTAATTAAAGATCCAAAATCGATAAAGCATTGAAATGCACGATGGTAAACATTGAAATTAGAAAGAACGTTTCGAAGAGGGAATTTTCAAGATGATATTCTATTTTGAAATTCTTATAAAGAAATTATTAGATTTTATTTTATTTTATTTTTCGTTTCATTAAAGAAACAATTTTAGAAGAAACGAAACGAATAATTATTCATGTATTTTCATTTGTTTTATGATCTAAAAGAGAGATATTCTATTATGGATCAAAAATACTTATGGTGTATTAATTATATTTTTATATCCCTATTTTGAGAATGAATAATTATTTATATATCGTAACAAATTTTTAATCTTAATATCATCGAAATAGAAAAACAAAAACGAATAAATCTCTTTAAAGATCATTCGTTTTTTTCTCAATTTTCAAAATTTGTCTCCGACAGTTTTAATTTCATATATCCAATTAAATAACATTTTTCCTAACTTCAATTCCTTTTTTAAAGCTATTCTAGAATAATTTTATTTTCGACACGCGTTTCTAAAAATATTCCAAATCACGTTAACATCGAGATCGTTCAATTTTCCTCGAGCTCCTCCAATTTCTCCAATTTTATCGGCGAAAATTCATCGAACGATCTTTCATTTAGAAAGCACTTTCCACTTGCAGCTCACTCGCGATTAAATGACATCGCTGCTACGTAATAACGTTAAGTCAACGCGTGTCGCGCTTGGATCAGGCGAGATTCATTTTCCATCGAAGAGCGAGCCGTTCAATAAAAGCGGCAGAATATGCAAATTTCAAACATAGATCATCACACCTGATGACGACGACGACGACGACGACGATGATGATGATGTAAAATATGCGAAGTATAATACGCGAGATAATAGAACGGAGTTGGTTCAGCGAAGCCTTTCGAAAGTCTCCTCGAAACTTCCATGATTTGGAAACGTGCGACAATGAGTTTATATAACTGAACGCGTCATTGCATCCATTTTGAATCAACAACAGCGACGTTCATATTAATTAAATCGCTGCCTTCGCCGCCAAAGCGGATTTCGTCCATGTCTTGGTACTGTGAGGTGAGTCGTTGGATTACAGCCCGGCGACAATGTCGCGGATCAGCGTCGACGATTTAATTAATCTACACCCGCGTGTAAAACGCGCTCAACCCAGATCGGGAGGAAATTAAAGGCGCGCGTTTAAAAGTCCAATCTCTCACACGTTTATGGCTAAATTTCTTATTTTTTCAGTTTCTTGCCTTAAAGGCTTCAAATTGCGATCAATTTGGCGGATCATAGATCTTAGGGATGAAATTATATGAAATATTCAATGTTGAAATTCTTAATTTTAATTGATAAATTAATTAACGAATAGATCACGAATATTTTTATATACTCTATACTCTTCTATGTTTTGGTTTAAAAAATTTCATTCCTCAAACACATATCCCGCGAATATATTTTAACACTCTCTACATTTTGAGATTTTAATTCTCGTTTCGCGTGTAAGAATATTAAAAAAATGTCGGACGCGATGGAGGTAAACACTTGGCGCGCCTGTAAATTAATTCATGCAAACGGCTAATTCGAGTGTCCGAAACAGATTGATCAGCCGAAAGATCGTTCAGGCATATCGAGTAAATTGGTTTGCTGATTTTCATCGGATATCCGATTTAACCAGTCTACCGAACCAGCGACAGGAGAGCCGAAGTTTTCTGAAAATAATGAATCCCATTGAGATTCATCCACTGACACGACGAGCAATCGAAAAGGAAAAAAAGCGACACGTTTTTATAATTATCGCGTATTAACACAATCCAAATTTCGTTTCATCCCTATAAAAGATGGAAAAGAGACAGAAACAGCATCACAAGTGTGTGCATAAATAAACGAATATAAAAAAGTAAGTGTAAAATGTAAAAAGTAAAAATGCGTGAAGTTCATTCGAAATCGTCCATTTCTACGTTTTAATATATATATAATTTCTGGAATCTCTTATTTGTATGCGCCCTCGTTAAAATATTAAAAGAGGGGAGAGAGAGAGACAGAGAGAGAAGGCACGCACGAGGCGCCAGCAACAAATCCTCCTCTCTCGAGCGGAAACTCGAATGTAACGACACGTACAATTTACTGCCCTCCCCTTTTTGCGGCCATTACACGTATTCATGCTTCGCCAAGAATTCGCAGAACGCCCGGCATTAGCGGGAGAGAAAGAAACGGAGGATATGGAACGCGAAACGGGAAGGATGTAGCGGGGCGGATTGGGGGAGTAGATACGGCACGCGAGTGGCAATAATTCTCCTCGCGACGATATTTCAATAACGCCGTATAAAGTATCGGCGTCCACCGATATAAGCCCGATATTCAATGGGTACCTATCAGTTTTCCGTCGTGCACGGCATTAAATCTGCATCCGATGAAACCGATCCACTCCCTCCCTGAAAATCGTGCACTCGGAAGAAAAAGGATCTGCCATCGACAATCGCGTGTCTCCGGCATTCGTGTCTGTCGATGATCTGAAAGGAAGAAGAATGTTTCCGTCTGGCCGTCTGGCGATAAGGGAAAAAAAAAAAAAAGGAAAAGATGAAGGAATGGACGAAATTTGTTAATCTTTATCGAAATCCTTGGTGATTTGCTTGGGATTGTTCCAAGAAGTTTAGAATTGGTGCGATTTTTGGACGAATAGGTTTTTGTAGGTAGATTGTTTTTTGAGATATATTTTTTAACTACTTTGTGGTATTTTTTATTGTATA